GTGTCAGAGTAACCAGGGAGGGTGCTCGACTGGGACCGCACGATGTGTTTACGACGGACCGGGGAAGGTAGGGAAACAACAAAGACCATGTCCAAGATCCAGATCAGGGGCAAGGATTATGATCTGGGGCAGGAACAAGATTCAAAACAAGATGAGGATCAGAAGAAGGTTCAGTAACAGAATCAGAGACAGGACAAGTTTGGAAACAGGATCTCGATTAGGAGCAGGATCTGCAGGACCAGGAAAAAGATCAGGAAAGGAGCAGACCAGGATCAGGGAGAGTATCAGGATTAGGAACAGGAGAGATCAAACATTTCACCTTCATTTCAGCTGTAATGACTCCTGCTGCCTGTAGGGGGCTGCAGTGATAACCAGTGTTTACTTGTTGTGTTGTCAGTCTCACTGTGAGTGTCTACCTGGATTTGAACACCTTCCTGAGGGCGGCTGCGGCCTCAAGGACTTGTGTAGACCCGGTTCCTGTGATGAACACGCTAACTGCACCACCGTAGAACCTGGACGAGTCGAGTCAGTCCCTTTTGTCGACGTTTTCTAACTCAGTGAGCAAGTGTTTTAACGTGTAGGACACAGCTCACCTCGTCCCTCTGTCCCGCAGCTGCACCTGTCTCCAGGGTTACATCGGTAACGGCAAAGTGTGTTATGGGAACATCATCCAGCGTCTGAACAATCTGAACACGGAGCCAGGAGGAGAGTGGAGGGGTCAGCTGAGCGACGCCATCCAGCTGTTTGGTAAGATGAAGATCTATTCATTTTAAATCTATTCACAAGACTTAAAACCTTTAAAGACTGAAAAATGTCCTGAACTCCGCCCATAGCTCCGCCCTCAATTGCTACTTTTTTTTTACTGTGTGTCTGTAGATTTAAAAAAGGTGTTTGATCTTTGGACAAAGCCAGGGTGGCTGTCTCCCCCTTTTTTCCGGTCTTCATGCTAAGCTAAACTAACCGCTAGTTCAGCTAAAGGGTCTGTGGACTTCTGTTTTGAAGCCCCCAGTTCTGCATATTGGTCGGAGCTATTTTCATTTTCTTGAGCCTGAAGTGACCATATATGGCAATTGCAATAATGCCAGATGTTGTCTTGCTAAAAACATGGTTTTAATAAGATGTGTCTGCTGATAATACCAACAGCTGACATCTCAGTGACTTTTAAAACAACAAAAGCCTGAAGAGGACATTTTTAGGGACACTGGTTTATCTCAGTCAGTCCCAGTCGCAAAAGCCTGAAAACATTTTCACAACCTGACTTGTTAGTCACAGGTAGCCCCGCCCCTAATCGGTCCTGAGTTGGTAAACATTTCTAATAATTGTGTTTTCTTTTTCAGGCGTTCTGTCGTGGCCTCTGCAGAGTTTGGGTCCGTTCACTCTGTTTGTCCCCATAAATAAAGGATTTAGAGGAACATCAGTAAGAACACAAACATCACGTTGAACTGATTTCAAGAATCTAAACCAAGATTAGTTTAAAAATAATTAAATATGTGACTTTCTCTATCGTTTTGTTTTTTTTGACCAGGTGAGGACTCTGACTGCTGACGTTTCAAAAGCTAAATACCTGTGTAAGATGCACCTGGTTGCCGGGGTGATGCCGTTCAGTACTCTGAAGAAAACAAACGTTTTTTACACTCTGACGGGAAAATCAGCCGAGATTGACACCTCAGAGGGGGTACGCTTTGTCAAATTAGAAATAATAACTAATCTGATCATTGAATCATCTAACCGCTGCTCCGCTCTGATTTTCAGGACTCTCAGACTAAAATCCGTCTCCATGGCAGCAGGAAGAAAGGTGTAATACTGCGCTCTGACTTGGTCGCGTCCAACGGGATAATTCACATAATCAACAAACTAATGGACAGTGTGTCCCCAACTGTGGACAGCAACACAAAGGTATACACACACCACATGCATATGCAGTACAGTCTATGCCAGTGGTTCTCAACTAGTGGGTGGGGACCCAAAAGTGGGTTGCAAAGCCATTTTCAGTGGGTCATGAGTGTGTGTCTGGGAAAAATGGCCTTTTTAAACTTGTTTGATTTGTTCAGTTTCTTATTTTTTATTTATTTTTTACAGGGACATTGCATATTAATAAACATTTTGGTAAATATGAAAGTTAGCCAAAAGGTTAATTTTCATCTGTTGTCGCTGGCCAGATTTTATAAAAGGCTCCCTAAAAAAAACAAATTCAAACATCACTAAAAGCTACAAAAATAGAAATATCATGACAGTAATTAAGCAGGAAGGTAAGCAGCCACAGGAGAAAATACATAAACCATGCAGGATACACATAAAGCAGCATTTGGTTAATATAAAAAATGTATATCATGCAGGACAGACGTGGAGCATGTGCCTCCATCACATGTTTTGTAACGTCTATTGCACACATTTTCATAAATATATCTGATTGTTTGAAAAATATCAGAAATGTGGGTCCCGATTTATCATGGAGGAGTCTGTGGTGAGTCTTGAGGCTAGAGGAGTTGGGAACCACTGGTCTATGGTATACACACATCATTTTTCTGTCCAATCTGATTGACTCGTTCTTTCAGGAGAATCTGTTGACGGTCATCTCTGACTACGGAAAATTCTACAAGTTCAAGTCTTTATTGGAGGTAAAATGTTTTTTTTTTTTTTTTTTTATAAAATCCCTCATTTGGATTCAATCATAAATAGTCAAGCCTCTTCACACATGCACATGACAGCCTGACCTGATTTGTTCCAGACTCTAGAGTTTCCCGTTCACACATGAACCTCAACTTCACCTTGTTTCAACAAGTGGACCTCCATACATTAGTGTGTGTCCTCAGTGTGTGTGTGTGTGTGTCCTCAGTAGTGTGTGTTGTGTTTTTCTAAGCAGATGGTAGATCTGACCTCAGTCTGGACACTCCCGGTCCAATCACGGGTCTTTGCTCCAGTAGCTCCGCCTTTGACAGGATGACTGAAGGTCACCTGGAGTACCTGAGCAGCGCTGACTGAAGGTCACCTGGAGTACCTGAGCAGCGCTGAGGTCAGAACCCCATCAGCAATCACCGAACTAATAACAACTTGTTTGCTGTTAACTTGAATGATCCAAACTGACCTGATTTGTTCCAGACTCTAGAGTTTCCCGTTCACACATGAACCTCAACTTCACCTTGTTTCAACAAGTGGACCTCCATACATTAGTGTGTGTCCTCAGTGTGTGTGTGTGTGTGTCCTCAGTAGTGTGTTGTGTTTTCTCTAAGCAGATGGTAGATCTGACCTCAGTCCTGGACACTCCCGGTCCAATCACGGTCTTTGCTCCCAGTAGCTCCGCCTTTGACAGGATGACTGAAGGTCACCTGGAGTACCTGAGCAGCGCTGAGGTCAGAACCCCATCAGCAATCACCGAACTAATAACAACTTGTTTGCTGTTAACTTGAATGATCCAAATGTTAACTCTGAACCTTCAGGGTCACCACAAACTGCTCGAGTTTCTCCGGAACCACCTGGTCCAGTCCACCGCGGTCAGTAGCAAATATTCATAAAAAATCACATGAATCATTTGATAAACATGCTTTATCCCATTAAAACTTATTAGATAATAATTATTCCTCCTTATCTCTTTACCGGGTCTGAAGCTGGAGGTCTTTAACGCCGTGTCCAGCCCCAGGATCGTGACAATGGCCAATCATGTTCTGAGCATCAACGTGACGGAAAACGTGAGATCCTTCTCCTCACGCTCTTATTCTGAAAAGAAATCCCCTGACACACATTTACATCTGTCAAAGAATAATAAGTAAAACTAACATCCGGAAAAAAAATGTGAATCTGTTTCACTCGTGTTTTGTTTTCAGGGTCAGATTTTTGTGGACGACGCCCCCGTGCTGGAGGCCGCGGTTGAGGCTAAAAACGGACGTCTGTACGTCATAGATGGCGTTTTGACTCCGTCTACCATCCAACCTGTGCTGCCCCACAGGTGTGACATCAACAAGACCAAACTCTTCAGGGTGAGCTTCAACAGGCGCCATTTCTTTAATGATGTCATTTATATTTAAATAGTCAGAATTAGAGGATGTAATATCTATCAGTGCATTTTCACATGTTTTTGTTGTGTTTGATCAATCCCGTCTCTGCGCTTCAGGGTGAGTGCAACAACTGCCTGAGAGCCATACTGTCTCAGTGCTCGTCTGGAGTTAATACGGTAAGACGTCTCCCTCTGTTCACTGTTCATTTTCTCACGCTTAACCATCATTTTAAATCTTTTTTTTTTAAATATAACGATGTTTCTGTGTGTGGATCAGGGCTCCATCGTATATGGATGTATTTATAATATGTCCCTCGGAAAGCAAGGCATTAAAATCGCATCAGCAGGTTGCAAGCCGATCTGCAACACAACCGTCACCGTAAGAAACTTTAGATAGAATCTTAGAATCATATCACAGATTAAAAATCAGGACCAGCTGGGATTAGGCTCCTGAACTGTGCGTTTGGTCCTCTTTATTCATTTTTTGTTGTTTTTTTGTTTGTTTGTGTATCTGTTTTAGACTCCAGCATGTTGTAAAGGTTTCTATGGACCAGACTGTAGTCCCTGTCCAGGTGGACATCAAACCCCATGCTCTGGACACGGTCAGGTCAGATTCAACATCAACACACTGTGAACAAGTACACAACATCACAACACTTATCAAAGGTTTTTAACCCTCTGAACTCTTAAAACTTAACAACACAACATTAACCGGGTGTTTGAAAAAGGTCTAGATCATCATACTGAAGGATTTTATCACTGTAATCCACAGAGGACCACACCTGTGAGGTACCCCAAGGCTCACGTCTTGGCCCACTTCTCTTCTCACTATATTTAATTTGTACATGTTATCATTGTTTTTATAGACATGTTGATGACACACAGGTCTACCTGAGCCTTCTACCTAACCTCAGCTAACACATCATGATCCCAAATTCTTTCTAAAACTTTCTGCAGTTCAACAAAACGCTCAAAAAGGTCCAAAACAAACTTTCTATGCAGACAATTTGACGTTTTATTTCTCTGACAAAATTAAATCAAAAAGGATGATTAATGACAAAAACTGTCATCATTTAATAAAGCTGAACAAAAGAGAGAGAGTGTCGAAGAATTAAAAAACGATTGAGTTAAAACAAAACTGAAAACAAAACAACCCATGAAATCAGATATTAAAGGATCTTGTGATTAATCATTTAATGCAGCGTCAGCAGAAGAACATTTAGTGGTCATTTAACAGTCACCTGACATTTGATGAGCAGGTAAAGCAGCTGAATTGACTTGTTTTGTAGAAGGAGGAAACAAAAGTGGTTTGATTAATGTTATTTTTTGTCGTAGTGCTCCGAGGGGATGGAAGGAAGCGGTGTGTGTCTGTGAGCAAAACTTCAGAGGCTCTCGCTGTCAGTACTGCACCGCCCCCAACAAGTACGGACCAAACTGTGACAGGAGTAAGTTTTTACCTGAGTCATGTGTCACGTGTCATGTCTCACCTGTGTGATGTCGTACCTGTATCTCACCTGTGTGTCCTCAGCCTGCCCCTGTGTCCACGGGCAGTGTGATAATCATCCAGACTCAGGCGGCCAGTGTAAACTGGACTCCTGTCAGATGGGTTACACCGGTGCGCTGTGCGATCGCAGGACAGCGGCGTGTGGCGTTCAGGCTCAGTTCTGTCACGCACACGCAGACTGTGACTTCAGCCAGGGAACCCCCAGGTGAGTTTACCTGCAGCTCCCTTTCAGCATACATAGACATCTTTAAAGTTCAGACTACAGACGCCGAGTTTGGAGATTTGGTGGGTCGACGTTGCATCAGATGAACTTTTTTCTGATAGATGTTTAATCTGAAGAAATCACTCATGTTTTTTTTTCTTTAATTGTTAAAGAAGCCCTCCACCATAATGATGTCATGTTCACCTGTTCCCCATGAACACCTGCAGGTGTAGCACTTGGACAGTCTGTTGTCAACAAAATGAATTGTCTTGTTATTAGCTTCTGCTCCATCTGTTTCTAGATGTGTTTGTCAACCTGGTTACCAAGGAGACGGGATCACCTGTGTGGAGTCTGACCCCTGTGCTCCGCCCCTCAGAGGCGGCTGCAGCTTGAACGTACGTTATTTATTTATTTTACTCTTACATCATTTCTGCAGATTACCAACACACACACTGACTACTCCCTGTGTGTATGTGTGTGTGTATATATGTGTTTGACGCCCCCTGCAGGCCAAATGTGTAACGACAGGACCGGGGACTCACTCCTGTCAGTGTCTGATCGGGTGGACGGAGGACGGAGACGAGTGTCAGCCAATCAACAACTGCAACCGTCCCGATAAAGGAGGCTGCCACTCCAATGCCACCTGCATCTACGTGGGACCTGGACGGGTAACGTCCAATCAAATCGCATCATCAGATTTTGAGTTACAGTACTTGTCAGGAGTGTTAGGAGAGAGGAGACTGAAAACCCATGTTCATGTGACGGTATATAAATTACTCAGACAACAGGAAACCTGGCACTACATTTCCCATGATGCTTTGCCCGATGAGGCAGGAAGTATGTAGGTGTGAACTGCTGATATATGACTGATTTTACTTCAATCAGAGGGAAGGAAAGTTTGGTTTTACTGGTTGTTGTGTTTGCACTGTAACCATGGAAACGGACAACAATCGCAGAAGAAACAGAATGTCAAAGGTCTTCTTCTTCTCTGTTTTATGTTCTCAGAGCGACTGTTCGTGTAAGGCGGGGTACAAAGGCAGCGGCTGGAACTGCGAGGCCGTGAATCAGTGTGTGACAGCCAACGGAGGCTGTCATTACCTGGTGAGGATGATGATGATGAGCGCTCTTCATCGGCTCTCTGTGTGTCTATCAGATGAACAGAGAGTGATGTGTGTGTGTGTCCTCAGGCCAGCTGTCTCCTGCAGTCCTCTCAGTGGACGTGTGTGTGCGATGAAGGTTATGTTGGAAATGGACAGACGTGTTACGGCACCATCGGACAGGTGAGAGTCCACAGGTGATAAATTCTGACGTCCGCCATGTTTCTTTATACTCACAAATGTCTGTGTGTGTGTGGTGCTTTCAGGAGCTCATGGTTCTGCCGGACGTCTCAGAGTTCTTCACATGGACCACTGTGAGTACAACACCTGACTGAGGTCGTCACACTGTTTGATACTTTATGGTACCAGGTGTTTTAAAACGATTATTTTGCAAAATATTTGAGAGAGCATCGTCTTAATTGTACACGTTTCCAAATATTTCTGTACATGACCAAAAGAGAGAGGGAGCACTGTCTAAATTGCACAATTATGTTAGCAACTTATTTGAAAGAGTGCTGTTGAAATTGCACAAAAAGGTTGACAACATATTTGAGTGTGCACTCTCATAATTGCACAGAGATGTTGGCAACATTTGAAATGAGGAAGGAGCTGGAGAGGAGCGAGAATGAAGCTTCCCAATGTTACAAGATAGATAGATAGATAGATAGATAGATAGATAGATAGATAGATAGATAGATAGATAGATAGTTTATTGATCCCGAGGGAAAGTCAAAGCATCCAGTAGCAGGTTACAAAGACATGACATGAAACATTTGTTACAAATTAACCACAAAACTGCCCCCCCTCCCGTACATATATATTAACTCGAAAAAAGATTTAAAGAATACCTCTAGGTGAATCAAACTTAAACTGTGCAATTAAAAATAGACTCATACAAGAAATGTACATAACCCGTGCAGGGATAAAAATATATGTGACATTTAAACAAGAACCTAAAAACAGTTGAGGAAAAACAAATCTGTAATTAAAAAATAAAAAAAGTGTTGACCTTCTGAAGTTGTGTTGTTTATATATGTACAGCAATGTTTCAAAAGAAGACATCAAAAAACAGACATTAAAGAACATAATATTTATGATAATAATATAATATATAATATTATATTTAATAATACAAAAGAACTGACATGAAAACTCATGCAAACTAAATATAAATCAGAAAGTCTAAAGTGAATTAACGTTTCTTAATAATCCAAAAAATTGTTGCAATCTTAGTTCACTCACAGGAGACGCACGGAGAACTCAAACTGGAGTCTGATTTCCATGACTCTTTGTCCTCAACAGTTGCATCTCATGTGCGTGTGTCTACAGTGTTCTTCAGTGATGTCACATCTTTCCCTTGTTGTGTTTCAGGAGTCCGGTCTGTCCGGGTCTCTGTCCGATCAGAACCTCACCCTGCTGGTCCCGTCGTCGGACGCGGTCGCTAAAATGTCCCCAGAGGAGAAAAAGTTCTGGACCACCAAAGGAAACCTGCCCAGTCTCATCAGGTAACGTCACTGAAAAGCTTTTTTTTTTTTTTTTTGAAATCGCTCTGTAGCCGTAACCATGACAACATGATGATGAGTGTTGTTGTTTTTTTTCTTGGAGTTGTCCTTTCTTGCTCCATTCAGGGAGGAAGTTTTGTCTTAAACAGTGAAACTTTTGTGTTTGTGTCTGATTATCTTTATTTCTTATTAAATCAGGCTCTTATTTCTTTATTTTAAACTCGAACATGTTCTCAATGTCTGTTAAGATTTGTAAAAGCTTCCACCTGTCCTGTAGAAATCATATGATCTCAGGTGTGTATCCATTAAACACCCTGAGCGGCCTTGCCTCTCTCACCTCCCTCCTCAAGACCACACTTCCTGTTTCATCAACCAATGAGGTGAGTCCAAGTTTAGATTCTACGTTATCTTTGAAATAAAACTGTTTTTATTCCTCCACCCTCGGCTGATCGGTCTTATTTATTCGTTGGGAGCTACATGTGTGTAAAAATAAAAGTCAATGTCATTACACTGATCATCATGTACTTAAAATAAATCCTTTAAATGTCTGTGCTCATAAACGTGTCGGAGAAAGTTCAGATTTAAGTCGGCGTGTTTTCATCTCTCAGGTCGTGTCTGTCGGAGGAGCGACCATCACCGCCTCCAACATCGCTGCTACCAACGGACTCATCCACATCGTTGATAAGGTACACAGCTAACCGTGCTAACTATGCTAACCATGCTAACCATGCTAACTATGCTCTGACTGAATCTCACAGCTTGTGGTTTCTGTCTGCAGGTTTTGGTTCCTGACAGGAAGCTGAGTGAAGGACTGCTGGCGACTCTCGCTCTGAGGACAGACTTCTCTCTGTTCAGATCCTACCTCATCGTACGACACACACACACACACACACACACACACACACACAAACAAACTAAGATTGTCAAAATGCCCAATACTAGTGTTGTAGTCAAGACCACGTTAGCCGAGACCAGAGTGCTCCAAGACCAAGAAAAGACCAAGACCAAGACCAAGACAGGTCTGTTTCTCATGTGTGGTGTTTTTCCTTGCAGGATTATAACCTGACAGACGAGATCGAGCAGGCAGACGAGTACACTGTGTTCGCTCCGACAGACGCCGCCATCGCCGAGTATCTGAAGAAGGCGTCCGTCACCGCCATGGTACAATTTACCGACGGTTTACAGTTTCAACATTTAACAAACATTAAATGTGTTTTTATTTTAAAACTGTGCACAAAGTCTCAAAGAAATTAAAATTAGGAATAAAATGTGTTAACTTTAGAACAAGCTGTGAAACGATGAGAATGTTTGTCTCTTTAAATGATAAATCCAGGATTTTATTTCGTCAAACAGGATGTAAATACAACTCGCTACCATGTGGTGGCGACGGAGCGCCTGTTAAAGACCGACCTGCAGTCTGGAGGGTACAAAGAGACGCTGCTCGGGTTCTCCTTCCAGCTCGGCTTCTTCCCCCGAGACGGAAAGGTCTGAATCGATGATTCAATGATTCAGATAATTAATATATCGTTTAATAATAAATACAATTTTAAAAATGTGTATGTTTGTGTCAGCTGTTTGTGAACGACGCTCCGATGAACTCGTCGAACCTGCTGAGCGGTCGAGGAGTGATCCACGGTCTGTCAGCCGTCCTGGAGATCAACAGGAACCGCTGTGACAAGGTCAAATACTTGAAACTCCAGGTAATGTCTGCACGATCAGGAGGCAGAGCCAGATTATTTTATTTTTTTAACTGATCAGCTGATCAATAACAACTTTCTTTCTCCCTCCACAGGGACCATGTGTGGACTGTTTCTATCAAATGAGTGAAATCTGCCCAAACCAGACGATTCAGGACGTAAGATCATCGTCTTTAAATCACTCTACGATCATAGAAAACATTCATATGACACTGAATACATAAGAAATTATAATAAAATGTTCATTAAAAAGCAGAGCAGTGAAACTAACGTGTTGAAAACATTCTTGTTGCTCTCAGTTTTCGTACACAGAAACATAAATATGAAACTTAAAGTTTCATGTTTGATTTATTCTAATGAAAAGTTTGAAACGTTCAGACTGACAGGAGGCTGTAATATAAGTTTTCAGGTGATCACTCTTTGAGTTTTATCAGAAATTCTTCAACAAAAAATGCTCAAAAAGGTCAAAAACTAACTTTCTATGCAGACGACTTGACGTTTTATTTCTCTGACAAAATTCAATCAAAAATGATGATTGATGACAAAAGCTGTCATCATTTAATAAAGCTGAACAAAAGAGAGAGAGTGTCGAAGAATTAAAGAATGATTGAGCTAAAATAAGGTTTCAACTTTGACCCTGTACATAAAATAAACTTTAAGACAAACACAAGTGTTTTAGTCTTTTACCTGCTCCACTTTTCAGAAAATGTGTGCTCAAACAGGCCGTTTGGAGATTTTCCCTTCATGACATCACAAAGGGCAGTAGCCCCTCCCCCAGGTGGGTGACACTCCCACAGCTAGGTGTTTGTTCTGCCCTCTGAGTCTGCCTTCTCACCGTAAACAATAGGACATGGAGCGAGAAAAAACGAGTACACCCGAGCCCTTCCAGAGAGGGGGTGTGGTCAGACACAGCTCATCTACATATTTAAAGGTACAGACACAGAAACAGCCTGTTCTGAGCAGGGCTGAAATAGAGGGGTTTATAGACATGATCAAATACAGGATCAGAGTGGATTTAGAACAAGAAACACACACATGTTTTGAGGAGCTATGAGACTTATTTAAACTGGTTGAAGAGGAGGAGGAGGATATGTGACCTTTAACATTTCATCTTCAGAAATCTGTGAAGATGAGGAAGTGCCTGATGAGACGGGTGATTCAAGGAGAGAATCTGTTGAACACGGGCTGCAGAGCGATGTGTCTGATGGCCAACATGGTACTCTATCCTTAACTGTCACATCCTTTGATATTCATTTATTTACCGTATTTCATACTCACTATGACGTGTCAGATGGTTTAATATTTTAACATTTATTACGAGGCGGATGTTTTCTATCTGTGACAATAAACCTTACCATCTCAGGAGCGGAGTTGTTGCGGGGGGTTTTTCGGGGAGCACTGCGAGCCGTGTCCCGGGCCGAAGGGTCAGTCGTGCTCCGGTAACGGACGCTGTGAGGACGGCACGGCGGGGACCGGAGTGTGCCGCTGTTCCAAAGGATTCAATGGGACGGCGTGTGAGAGCTGCGAGGGCGGGAAATACTCCATCCACTGTGACCAAGGTACGCTGTCCTGTAGGAGCCTGTCTCGCCCTCTCTTTCCCCCGTCTAACCCTCTCTCCCCCCCGCCTCCCTGCAGACTGTCGTTGTAAACATGGCCGCTGTAACGAGGGGCTGAAGGGTGACGGGTCGTGTGTCTGTGATGTTGGTTGGAGAGGCGTCCTCTGTGATGAGAGTAAGACGACTTTGTTTCATTATCGGAAAATTTAAATATATTTATTGCCTTTTTAAAATCTTTGTAACCCCATGTTGTCTGTGAATCTGTGTTCTCGTTGCAGAAGTTGTCTCTGATGACATGTGTGTGTGTGTGTGTGTTCTCGTTGCAGAAGTTGTCTCTGATGAGATATGTGTGTGTGTGTGTTCTCGTTGCAGAAGTTGTCTCTGATGAGATGTGTGTGTGTGTGTGTTCTCGTTGCAGAAGTTGTCTCTGATGAGATGTGTGTGTGTGTGTGTGTTCTCGTTGCAGAAGTTGTCTCTGATGAGATGTGTGTGTGTGTGTGTTCTCGTTGCAGAAGTTGTCTCTGATGAGATGTGTGTGTGTGTGTGTTCTCGTTGCAGAAGTTGTCTCTGATGAGATGTGTGTGTGTGTGTGTGTTCTCGTTGCAGAAGTTGTCTCTGATGAGATGTGTGTGTGTGTGTATTCTCGTTGCAGAAGTTGTCTCTGATGAGATGTGTGTGTGTGTGTGTTCTCGTTGCAGAAGTTGTCTCTGATGAGATGTGTGGGTCAGATGTGAAGTGTCACTCCAGTGCAAAGTGAGTAATATATTATTATAGCTCTGCCATCATATGAGTATTATTGTGTTATAGATGTTAGTGAGTGTTGATATTTGTATAGTGTTCTTTATAGTGTTTTTGATATTTTAAACTTTTCATGGTGTCTCCTCGTGTGTCAGCTGTCTAACGGGACCGTCCGGAACGTTGTGTTCATGTGCCGCCGGATTTGAAGGAAATGGAACTTTCTGCCAAGGTAGCAAACACACACACCTGAGCTCTTTGCTCCCCTGATCTCACAACTGCAGAAATTCACATGCATGTGTGTGTGTGTGTGTGTGTGTGTGTGTGTGTGTGTGTGTGTGTGTGTGTGTGTGTGTGTGTGTGTAGCCATAGACCGGTGTGCAGTGGGTAACGGGGGCTGCAGTCTCTTCGCGGTGTGTAAGAGGACCTTGCCCGGCCTCAGAGAGTGTGTGTGTAACAGTGGTTACCGAGGCGACGGGTTGGTGTGTGTCGGTACGTTCACTGTTCTTATTCTTTTATATTTGTATTTTTTTAAATTAATTTCACTGTGAAAACACACAGAGGGGTGTTTTATTATTTTGTTGAAAGAGTTCCTGTTTATAATTTTTTTTAAAACAGAGAGTGTCCGTGTTTTCATGATGTGTTGAAGTGCTGCAGGACTTTTCTGTTTCTCTCACAGAAATCAACCCCTGTCTGGAAGGAAACAGTGGTTGCCATGCCAACGCAGAGTGTATTCACGTTGGACCAAACAAAGTAAAACCTGTTTTGTTTTTTTTCTCTTTTCTTTTTCCTTTTATTGAATGTGAACACGATCGTGTGACGGTGAAGCTTTTATTGTTGTGATCCTCTCGCAGACTTCCTGTGCCTGTAGAGACGGTTTCTCTGGTGGCGGTCAAGACTGCAAGATGATCAACCTGTGCAGAAAGGTGAGTTTGTCTCCATGACAACCAAGTGTCAACTGTCATTACTAATAACACACAATAATGTACTACAGGTGTTCCTACATGAACTACAGGTGTTCTAGTTAGTACAGGTGTTCTAGGTACTACAAGTGTTCTAGGTACTACAGGTGTTCTAGGTACTACAGGTGTTCTGGGTACTGCAGGTGTTCTAGGTACTACAAGTGTTCTAGGTACTACAGGTGTTCTAGTTTCTACAGGTGTTCTAGGTACTACAGGTGTTCTAGGTGCTATAGGTGTTCTGGGTACTGCAGGTGTTCTAGGTACTACAGGTGTTCTAGGTGCTATAGGTGTTCTGGGTACTGCAGGTGTTCTAGGTACTACAGGTGTTCTAGGTGCTATAGGTGTTCTGGGTACTGCAGGTGTTCTAGGTACTACAGGTGTTCTAGGTACTACAGGTGTTCTAGGTTCTACAGGTGTTCTGGGTACTGCAGGTGTTCTAGGTACTGCAGGTGTACTAGGTAGTACAGGTGTTCTAGGTACTACAGGTGTTCTGGGTACTGCAGGTGTTCTAGGTACTACTGGTGTTCTAGGTACTACGGGTGTTCTAGGTACTAGGGGGTGTTCTAGGTGCTACAGGTGTTCTGGGTACTGCAGGTGTTCTAGGTACTACAGGTGTTCTGGGTACTGCAGGTGTTCTAGGTAGTACAGGTGTTCTAGATCCTACAGGTTTTCTAGGTACTGCAGGTGTTCTGGGTACTGCAGGTGTTGTAGGTACTACAGGTGTTCTAGGTGCTACAGGTGTTCTGGGTACTGCAGGTGTTCTAGGTACTACAGGTGTTCTGGGTACTGCAGGTGTTCTAGGTAGTACAGGTGTTCTGGGTACTGCAGGTGTTCTAGGTACTACAGGTGTTCTAGGTGCTGCAGGTGTTCAAGGTACTACAGGTGTTCAAGGTACTACAGGTGTTCTAGGTACTACAGGTGTTCTAGGTACAACAGGTGTTCTAGGTACTACAGGTGTTCTAGGTAGTACAGGTGTTCTAGATCCTACAGGTTTTCTAGGTGCTGCAGGTGTTCTGGGTACTGCAGGTGTTCTAGGTACTTCAGGTGTTCTAGGTGCTACAGGTGTTCTGGGTACTGTAGGTGTTCTAGGTACTACAGGTGTTCTAGGTACTACAAGTGTTACAGGTATTTTGTTTTGTGAGGATGGTACAGTTCTTAAAGACACAGTGGCTGGTGTCAGTCCTGCAGCAGTACTTTAACCTGCTCGGGTACCTACAGAACCTCCATCAAACACAACTGTCAGGTAAATGTGTCAGACAGTATCAATAATCCCTAATCATCTATCAATACCTGATGAATTGATCTGACTTCTGCGATTTGTTTCCAGAAAAACGGCGGCTGTCACACTTTTGCCAGGTGTAACACGACAGATCCAGGTGTTCGTACCTGCACCTGTCACAAAAACTACGTCGGAGACGGACTCACCTGCAGAGGCACTGTGGAAAAGGTGAGCTTCAGAAACAGGCCCCGCCCCCTTATGTTGAAATAAATATGTTTGTAATGTGATGATAAAATGTGATGATGTGATGTTTTGTGTCTCTGCAGGAGATCGTGAGGAGGGAGTTGAAAGAGTTCTTCATGGGTCTGATGGTGAGTGTAGCCGCTCTTTGTCGCCCCCTGCAGGTGAACTCTCACTGACTGTCTCTTTAAATCTCTCAGGTGACTCAGATCTCTCTGAAAGGTCGCGGCCCGTTCACCGTGTTTGTTCCGACAACTGAAGCCTATAGAGAGGATAAACATGGCGGCAAGGTGAGCTGACATGTTTGAATCCTCCGCTCTTTTTCTGCATGTTCACAACAAAACAATCTCCTGTTTTGATGATCGAGAGAAGTACCAAAACTTCTGACAAATAAGACGGAGAGAGGAGAGGAATGAGTCCTTCTACAATGGGTTGTCTAGGACTTTTTATTGCCGTGGTAACAGGTATAGTTTATACTGGTATAGATATCGTGGAAACCCTTATCCAGACTGAAACCTGTGATGATGCTAACAGGCTAACTGTGGTAGATGCTGAATAGCTAAGGATTAAAAACATGGCTGCCACCTGTTAGACCAATAATAACCTGTTGTTCGTACCTGACCTCTGACCTTTATTGATTGATGTTTATTTACTTGTAGTTTAAATTTCTGGGGATAGAAAAACACCTGGACGAATTTGGCTCCGTCATGCGCAGCCACATCGTCATGTGTCACACTCTACTGCCCATCGACCTGAGCCGACCGCGAAACCTGACGACTCTGTCCGGACTTGTCCTGACCACCAGGTCCAGCCAGGTGACCAATCAGAGAGCAGGAAGATAATCAGTGTTTTTCACTCTGATCCCTGGGTCGCTTGTGTTGGTTGATAATTTGAGTGTTTTCTGAATCGACTTTGTACACGTTTGTATGTCGGGTTTTTTTCAGGGTAGAATCTTCGTCAACGAGGCCAACGTGACGTACAGCAACGACCTCAGCACCAACGGCATCTTCCACGAGATCGACAAGATTCTATATCCTCCCCAATTCGACGCATTCAAAGACTTGGACGTTCCTGTGAGTCCACATCTGCGAACAAGTCTATAGAGAATATTTCCAGTCAATAAATTAGCGATCAATGAGTCTGAAGAAACTTTTTCTGGTTGATGATCTCAGATGAACCTGAGTGACGTGGCAGATCGTCATGGTTACAGAACGTTCTACAGACTGCTGCAGGTAAGTAGTAGGAGTGATATAGATAGAAGCAGCATATCCATGTTTTGATCTGCAGAGTCCCTCTGCACCTTTAAGAAAAAGCTAAAGACCCAGCTCTTTCATGAATACCTACTAACTTAATGATGATGGTCTCCATATTATTGATGATGATGATGGTAATGACGATGGTTTTTGTTTGATAACAACGACTTATAAGATGGTTTCTATACTGATTAGAGCTCTCAAGAACTGCCCTCAATGTTGTGCTTTGCCTCTGGTCACTTCCTGTCAGCACCTGTGTGTCCAATCAGACTCAAAGCTGATCGTTTGCTCTTACTCACATTGTTCCCTTTTTTCTAGATCCTTGCTTGTGTTGTTCTTACTCTCTGATGTACGTCACTTTGGATAAAAGCGTCTGCTAAGTGAATTGTAGAATTGCAGAATGTTTTGAGAATTTCATTGGCTACTAGAAACGTCTGTCATCGGCACAGTCGCATGCAATTGGCCATCAGAACAGGGGCAGGAAGTTTAAGGTGTGTTTTGATTAGAGTAAGGCTCCCTTATGAGGTCAACATTTCAGCACCTGTTACAGGGAGATTCTGGCTTCACTTTTGTACAGCAGAAGGAGACAGATACGCGACGTCCATGTTGATATGACCAATATTCAGAGGAGAGTTAAGTCATTCTTCTGTCAGATCTCTCCCTGTGTCCTACACTTACAACTCGTTTTGATCTGTGACGTGTCAGGACTCTGGTGTGACAGACCTGCTGAAGGACGGGGCGTACCAGCCGCTGACCGTCTTCCTGCCCTCAGACGACGTCATGGCGTCTCTGCCACAGGAGCAGAAGGACTTCCTGTTTCACAGAGACAACCGAGCTCAGCTGCTGGAGTACCTCAAGTTCCACATCCTGCAAAACCGGAAGGTCAGACACAGAACAACTACAAATAACTAAAAGCTACAAATAACTATTTAAAATCATCTTTTTCCAAATAGACAGAAGATTAAAAAAAGGTTTGATGGATTTAAAAATGAGGACCGATCAGATCAGAGACTCCAAATCGAGAAATCATTCTTCATATAAAAGTTGCAGAGGACAAACTAAATTCCCAACCAGCAGGGTGCGCTCTTTACAGTCATTGTTATGTCTCTTTGTGGTCTCAGGTGTACGCCGAAGGTCTGATCTACCTGGACTCTGCTCGGAGTCTGCAGGGTTCACCTCTGACTTTCAGCTGTGGAGGGATGGACGCCATTGTAAGAACAGGAAGAACACATTAATACAACCATAGAAGAAGAGTTCTTGTGTTGACGCGGTTGTTTTCATGCAACAGGGAGAAGTGTTTGTCAACGACGGAAAGTGTCGGATCGTTCAGAGACACCTCTTCTTTAACGGTGGCATCGCCTACGGGATCGACTGCCTGCTGACTCCGCCCAGCCTCGGGGGACACTGCAGCAAACAGACGATCTTTGACCTTGAGGTGAGTTTGAACTGAGAATATTCAATATATTCTTAAAGATAAAATGTTCAGACCTTTGCATGTTTATGTTTTTTTAAATAGCAGAGTGGCTAACAGGCTAATGTTAGTGCCCAAAAACTGATGTTCGGACTCTAAATAACCCCCTGTTTCTTCTTCTGTGGTAGATGAGCTGTGATCTGTGCACGCTCTCAGCATCTCGCTGTCCCAAGGGCTCCAAACTAAAGGTCAGAGTGATCATCTGTTCATCATAAACCAGCTCTGTCTGATCAGAGTGATCATCTGTTCATCATAAACCAGCTCTGTCTAATCAGAGTGATCATCTGTTCATCATAAACCAGCTCTGTCTAATCAGAGTGATCATCTGTTCATCATAAACCAGCTCTGTCTGATCAGAGTGATCATCTGTTCATCATAAACCAGCTCTGTCTGATCAGAGTGATCATCTGTTCATCATAAACCAGCTCTGTCTGATCAGAGTGATCATCTGTTCATCATAAACCAGCTCTATGTGTCTCTCTGGTGTTAGGAGGTCCAGAAGTGCGACCTGCCGTCATTGTTAATTACTAAAAACACGGGCTGTCGCACCATCTGCACGGTCAGCTTCCTGAAGCCAAAGTGTTGTCATGGTTACTACGGACGGGACTGCCTGGGTGAGAAGACAAAAGATACACACACAACACAAAAAATACACGCAAATTTGGAAGTACATTTTATTTTAAGTTTTCCTTATTTGTCATTAATTTGTCTTTGTGGTCCGACACGGCTCCCATACACATCTGAGCAGACAGAACTTAAATGAGCTCAGTGACATCATGAATATGTAATGAGTTCATGGTGATGTCATGATGACATCACATCGATCACCTGCTGATCTCTCTCTCTGTCAGCCTGTCCCGGCGGCAGCAGCTCTCCCTGCAGTAACCGGGGGAAATGTGACGACAGTCACCTTGGTAACGGCACCTGTACCTGTGAGGTCGGTTTTGGGGGCGTGGCCTGTGAGCTGTGCAGTGAAGGGTTCTACGGAGGCAGATGTAAAGGTGAGCAGCGGTCACACAGTTACCCGTTTGATGTCACCAGGTTTCTGATGCCTTGTTTCCTGTTTCTCAGCCTGTAACTGTTCAGAACACGGGTCATGTGACCAGGGACGGACAGGTACAGGAGTGTGTTTCTGTGAGGCCGGCTGGACCGGAGAGCGCTGTGAGAGCCCCCAGGGTGAGTTCGAACCTGAACCGTCCACCTGTCCATGGTCAGGTGTCTGTACGTTAAAAGACAGAGAACAGGTGAAACATGACAACTTGTGTGTGTGTGTGTGTGTGTGTGTGTGTGTGTGTGTGTGTGTGTGTGTGTGTGTGTGTGTGTGTGTGTGTGTGTGTGTGTGTGTCTGTGTGTTTGTGTAGCTGAGGTTCTGGAGTGTTCTCCGTCCTGTGCTCCAAAAGCGGTCTGTCGTGAGAACAACACCTGTGTGTGTCGGCCATTTTATGAAGGAGACGGCTTAACCTGTGCAGGTAAATAAAAACAACACTTGTACATGTAAATACAAACAACACTTGTACATGTAAACACAAACAACACCCGTACAGGTAAACACAAACAACACCCGTACAGGTAAACACAAACAACACCGTACAGGTAAATACAAACAACACCTGTACAGGTAAATACAAACACCTGTTCTTTCTCTCTCTGTAGTTATGGACATCTGTAGCGTGTGGAACGGCGGCTGTGCCAAAGGAGCCAGTTGTTCTCAGGTAGGAGAACAGGTGAGCTGCACGTGTCCTAAAGGTCACAATGGAGACGGCTTCACCTGTCTGCCCATCGACCCCTGCGTCTCGGGGGACAATGGAGGCTGCCACGAGCATGCCACATGCACCATGATGGCTCCGGTGAGGACAGTTATTGATTCAGGTACGCTCCTCAGGATCTCAGGTGTGCAGCATTGTAACATGTGACTCTGTGTGTGTGTGTGTGTGTACAGGGGAAGAAGAAGTGCACCTGCAAGGACAACTACATCGGAGACGGAGTCACCTGTGAGGTCAAACAGCAGCCAATCAGCCGCTGTCTCCAAGACAACGGACAATGTCATCAAGACGCCAAATGTACCGACCTGCACTTTGAAGGTAACTGAATTGTGTTGTGTTTAAAGTGTGTGTCTAGAGTGTGTGTTTAATGTGTGTGTTTTCTGCTGTTGTGTGTGTGTGTGTGTGTGTGTAGATACAAAGTTTGGTGTGTTTCACTACCGTTCAGTTCGAGGTCAGTACAAACTGACTTACAGCGACGCTCAGCAGGCCTGCAGTGCAGAGGGAGGCAGCATCGCTACATACACTCAACTGTCCTACGCTCAGCAGGTCAGTGACACACACACACACACACACACACACACACACACACACACACACACACACACACACACACACACACACACACACACACACACACACACACACACACACACACACACACATACACACACACACACTGGTTGAGTCGTTGCTGTCTGCTGGTCCTCTTCTTCACGTAAAAACTAAAGCTGCTGTTCCTGATGGCTCCTGCAGGGGGGGCTGAACCTGTGTGCTGCCGGCTGGTTGGACTCGGCCCGGGTTGCGTACCCGACGACCTATTCAAGCCCTCAGTGTGGTTTCGGACATGTGGGCATCGTGGACTACGGGACACGGAAGAACCTGAGTGAGACCTGGGACACCTTCTGCTTCCGGATGAAGGGTGAGACATCAGATAAGATCAGACAACATACAGACACCTGTACAGTAAATACATACAGTAAATACAACACCTGTACAGGTAAATAAAAACAACACCTGTACAGGTAAATAAAAACAACACCTGTACAGGTAAATACAAACAACACCTGTACAGGTAAATAAAAACAACTCCTGTACAGGTAAATAAAAACAACTCCTGTACAGGTAAATACAAACAACACCTGTACAGGTAAATACAAACAACTCCTGTACAGGTAAATAAAAACAACTCCTGTACATGTACAGACATCAGATCAGAAGATATCGCTATGTTTTTGTTGCCACGGCGATAAAAATACAAATCCTAAACACCAAAGATTTGATAAATCATTGTTTATTAATTGCACAAATAAGTTGGCACTTTTTGAAAACGAGGGTGACGCTGACTGACCTTCTCTGTGTTTCAGAGGTGACGTGTGAGTGTAGTCCAGGATATGTCGGAGACGGTCTCAGCTGTGTTGGAAACCTGCTGCAGGTCCTCAGATCTACGCCCAACTTCTCAAACTTCTTCTCTGTGAGTCTCCGTTTGTTTCCTGCCGAGTCACAGTTCAACTTCAGCTTGGTCTCCACCATTTATCTGACTAATACCTTCTCAAACCTTTTTTTCTGTTCTGTTCTGCAGCAAATCCTGAACTCGTCTCAGGTGAGTGAATCAGGTAAACAGTTTGTGAGGAGACTCGGCAACCTGACCGTTCAGTCCACTCTGTTCGTACCCGACAACGACGGCCTACCTGACAACCAGGTGAGTCTCTGCTTCACCGTCTGCTGCTCACACGGTGAAAAAAACACACCTTTTCCTCACCTGTCCACCTGTCCCTGCAGACTCTGTCCATGCGGGACATCGAGTTCCACCTGTCCGAGGGTCTGGCTCTTCCTCTCGTCCAGCTGAAGAACGGCACTCGCATCAGAACTCGTGTCGGCGGTCTGACCGTCCGAGGAGTCGCTGACCAGATGAATCCGTCGGCTCTGGTCAGATTTTAATGCTGCTTCTAAACACTAGAGGGCGACTCTGAGTCCTCCAACATATCAGACATGAGCTACACATGATCTGATTTTTATCTGAAGGCCGAACATCCATGTTGTACCTTTAATATAAAACATGAGCGCATGAGCTGTCTGTGATTGGCTGAGACTGCTGTCAATCAAAGCGACAGATTGGATCATACATCCCTATGAGTCTGAATCTGTTTCTTAATGCCGTAAAAATGTTTAAATCCTCGCAGCTTTTCTGTAAAACGTGTAAAAATTAAAACTTTTTCATCTCCTCAGTCATCTCGTTACATCAACGACCGCTTCATCACCGACTCGGACATCCAGGCTTCAAACGGGGTCATCCATGTTCTCCAGGGGCCGCTGAAAGCCCCGCCCCCTCGCCAACAGGTGTCATTAAACACAGTACACACTAATAATACTAACACTCTAACTAATAGTTAAACACATTTTCAATGAATGAAGTATTCAAAGTGTTTTCTTTTTTGACTTGGTCCTTGTCTGTGATTGGTCCAGCAGATGAAGGTGGCTCACAGGGCGGGGCTTGGAGTTGGAGTCGTGGTCCTGGTCATTCTGCTGGGCGCGGTCGTCTTCGTTGGATATAAATTCTACGCCCACAAAACCAAACCGTTCAGGTTTCACTACTTCAAGGTCACGCTCATTTAACCACACAGGAATACGTTTTCAATCTCTTTGTTACTTAAAAGTACCACCTGTCTGACCTTTGACCCCGTCCCTCTCTGACAGGACGAGGAGGAAGAAGCTCCACCCCCTCCCGACACCAATCGCAGCATCTGTAACCCGGTTTATGAACCTGCAGAGTCCGGCTCACCTGAGGCCGCAGTAAGTCCGCACATTCAGAAGAACAAAAAATCTTTATTTATAAACGGTTTGAATAAAATAAATCAGATGAGGTGGACAGAGGAAAGCAGCTGGTTGTGCTCAGCTCAGACTTCCTGTTTGCAGGCGGAGGACAAACCCGAGGCGGTGAACGGAGGATCGTACGACCTGCTGTCTGATGGACTGGAAACTTCCTAAGATCTGACACCTGTGTGGACCGACGGTCTGACAGGGACAGGGATCATCTTCTCCTCTTACAGAGAGCAGCTGTGTCCTCTGAGGACTTAACTCTGAGTCCAGACCCGACCCGACCCCCTTCCCTCCCACTAGCACAACACTAATGATGCGTTCAGATGACCAAAACTAAAGTCTGGACTGTACAGTTTTTCTGCTGGATGTGAAGACAGCTGCTGGTTCCAGGTCTCAGAGACTCTGAAGTTTCAGAATAAAAAATACCTCAACTGCAAAAAAGAAATGTTTTTGAATCATGTATAAGTGAATGTAAAGCTGATTAAAAGTACAGAGACAAAGATTTGTGTGTCATGTTTCTAAAACAGGACTAACATTACACTGCAAACCTCACCGGAGTAATCATATGAAGGATGCTAGCTGATGCTAAAAGCTAACCACAGATTGTTTCACTCATTTAAGATCAAACTTCATAAAACTTTATTTTGCAATCAACATTCAGACATCTTCAGTCAGCTCGGTGATCCACGAGTGATAATCTGCCACTCGAGAAAAGATGGCAGGTTTGTCTGCATCGCACTGCCTGCTGCCCCATGTGACCATGCCAAACAGGAAGTACGCGCCATGCTTCTTACAGACCAGAGGAGCTCCCTGGTCGCCCTGCCGAGAGGAAAACAACATCCTGAAACGTGATCTTTAGTTTATCCAAGTCTAAATCATGAAAGCTGTCTGCTTTAAGGACGTTACCATGCAGGAGGCGGAGCCTGCAGGGTGTGTGCAGATATGAGAGTCACCAATAAGCCCCGGCCACTTCTCCCTGCAGCTCGTCTGATTGACCAGAATCAGTCCCACCTGGTGCAGCGTGTCCGGGTTGATGGATTCTACAGAGGAAGACAAGAGAGGGCAAATCTTCAGAGATCAGAGAGACAGACAGGTGGACGAGGTGCAGAGAGACAGACGGGTGGGCGAGGTGCAGAAAGACAGAGAGACAGACAGGTGGACGAGGTGCAGAGAGACAGACAGGTGGACAAGGTGCAGAAAGACAGACAGGTGGGCAAGGTGCAGAGAGACAGACAGGTGGACGAGGTGCAGAAAGACAGACAGGTGGGCAAGGTGCAGAGAGACAGACAGGTGGACGAGGTGCAGAGAGACAGACGGGTGGACGAGGTGCAGAGAGACAGACAGGTGGACAAGGTGCAGAAAGACAGACAGGTGGGCAAGGTGCAGAGAGACAGACAGGTGGACGAGGTGCAGAGAGACAGACGGGTGGACGAGGTGCATAGAGACAGACGGGTGGACGAGGTGCATAGAGACAGACGGGTGGACGAGGTGCAGAGAGACAGACGGGTGGACGAGGTGCAGAGAGACAGACGGGTGGACGAGGTGCAGAGAGACAGACAGGAGGGCGAGGTGCAGAGAGACCGAGAGACAGACAGGTGGACGAGGTGCAGAGAGACAGACAGGTGGACGAGGTGCAGAGAGACAGACAGGTGGACGAGGTGCAGAGAGACAGACAGGAGGGCGAGGTGCAGAGAGACAGAGCGACAGACAGGTGGACGAGGTGCAGAGAGACAGACAGGTGGACGAGGTGCAGAGAGACAGAGAGACAGACAGACAGACAGGTGGACGAGGTGCAGAGAGACAGACAGGTGGGCGAGGTGCAGAGAGACAGACAGGTGGACGAGGTGCAGATAGACAGAGAGACAGACAGGTGGACGAGGTGCAGAGAGACAGACAGGTGGACGAGGTGCAGAGAGACAGACAGACAGACAGGTGGACGAGGTGCAGAGAGACAGAAAGGTGGGCGAGGTGCAGAGAGACAGAGAGACAGAGAGACAGACAGGTGGACGAGGTGCAGAGAGACAGACAGGTGGGCGAGGTGCAGAGAGACAGACAGGTGGACGAGGTGCAGAGAGACAGACAGGTGGGCGAGGTGCAGAGGACAGACAGGTGGGCGAGGTGCAGAGGGACAGACAGGTGGACGAGGTGCAGAGAGACAGACAGGTGGACGAGGTGCAGAGAGACAGAGAGACAGACAGGTGGACGAGGTGCAGAGAGACAGACGGTGGACGAGGTGCAGAGAGACAGACGGGTGGGCAAGGTGCAGAGAGACAGACGGGTGGACGAGGTGCAGAGAGACAGAGAGACAGACAGGTGGGCAAGGTGCAGAGAGACAGACAGGTGGGCGAGGTGCAGAGAGACAGACGGGTGGACGAGGTGCAGAGAGACAGACGGGTGGACGAGGTGCAGAGAGACAGAGAGACAGACAGGTGGACGAGGTGCAGAGAGACAGACGGGTGGGCGAGGTGCAGAGAGACAGACGGGTGGACGAGGTGCAGAGAGACAGACGGGTGGGCGAGGTGCAGAGAGACAGACAGGTGGACAAGGTGCAGAGAGACAGACGGGTGGGCGAGGTGCAGAGAGACAGACGGGCGAGGTGCAGAGAGACAGACGGGCGAGGTGCAGAGAGACAGACGGGCGAGGTGCAGAGAGACAGACGGGTGGGCGAGGTGCAGAGAGACAGACGGGCGAGGTGCAGAGAGACAGACGGGCGAGGTGCAGAGAGACAGACGGGTGGGCGAGGTGCAGAGAGACAGACGGGTGGGCGAGGTGCAGAGAGACAGACGGGCGAGGTGCAGAGAGACAGACGGGTGGGCGAGATGCAGAGAGACAGACGGGTGGGCGAGGTGCCGAGAGACAGACAGGTGTGTGGACCACCTGTTGCCTTGGTGGATCCCCAGCAGGTGGTCACACAGGACCAGCTGCTGTCCAGGACCTCGTCTTCATCAGGGACACAAAGCGGGGACACACTGGAGCCTGAGACCAGAGGAAACTGTTAAAGTCTATTTCAAACAACATACAGGAAGTGATCCTTCAAAGTAAAAGCTTTGAATGTCAGGTGTTCTAACTGAATCTGGCGGGCACGCTGAGGCGGAGCAGAGACAGGTCAGACTTTGGGGGGAAGCTGCCGTCCTCCTTCATGTCGAACACCTTCTCCACTGGGACGCTTTGAGAAGAGAAGCGGAGGTCATGGACTCCGAGGACCGCCACGTCCTCTTTGGCTCTACAGGGACAAAAACCAGAGTCCTGCAGTCAGACTGGCAGAGAGGATTCTGGTAGACCAGAGACACTGACAGCTTCATAGTATTATTAGTATTTACCTGACGTTGCAGTGTTTGGCGGTGAGCACCCAGCGGTGGTGGATCAGGACTCCGCTGCAGTAGTGGTTTCCGGCGGACTGCAGGCTGACCTGCCAGGGCCAGGAGAAGGGGCAGGACTCAGAGACGTTCCCCACAGACAACTCACCGCTCTTGGATGTTAAGAGAGCAGCGAGTCCTGGAGCCCGCTGACAGCTGGAGCTCCTCTGCTGCTGCCCACACATGTCCTCTGTAAAAATAAAGAAGAAGAGAAAGTCCAGGTGAACAAACAGTAAGGATGCGACACAGAGCTGGAGGTGAGTTTCTACTAACATGTCCGAGCAGCTGATTAGAGCAAGATTTAAAAAATAAAATGAAATAAGTTGAATGTAAGAACCTTCAAGGCTGGCGTCATCTGTGTGTGGACCGTTTGAGTCTTCTGTGAAAAGAAACAGGAACTGTTCAGCTTGTTTAGGTACACACACCCCCGACCTGTCAGAGACCACAACCCCCCCCAGACTCACTCAGGACCTCAAACATCCAGTCGGTGTGCTGCTGCACTTTGGTGTAGACTCCTGGTTTTCTGGCTCGTCCGCAACCGACCCCCCAACTCACCAAACCTGCCAGCTCATATTTGCTTCCAGTGAAGCAGGACAGAGGACCACCAGAGTCCCCCTGAGACAAAAGAACCAGACCAGGTTAGAGACAGGAACTAGACCGTGTTACAGACAAACAGGAGGGACAGCAGTGTGTGGAGACTTCTTTTTTATCAGCGCTGGAAGTTGTCCAAACCTGACAGGCGTCGGCTCCGCCCCCCTCCTTCCCGGCACAGAACATGGTGGGTTTCATTCTTCCCAGGTAGAGCCGGTTACAGACGTCGGTTGGCAGTATGGTCACGTTCACCTCCTGCAGTCTGTTGACTCGAGGACCGTCTGAGGAAAACCAGAAGACACATTAGTTATTGAATTTATTTATTTATTTATTTTATTTAAGAACAATGCAAAGCATGAAACTGATGTGCTGCATACAGAGTATAGAGCTGTTGCTAATTTCCAACTCGAGTCCCCAGTTGGGCCTTTGTGTAAACAAAAAGATTAAAATGTAAAACATTCGGTTACATAAAACCCCATAACACTCTGAGGATACATTAAAATACATGTACAACAATACAAATGCTATATGTTTTAAGATACTAAAAGTGGGTACAGCTCTGGTTTGCTTTGAGCATTTCACCTGTTTTGTAAAAAGTCCAAGATTAATTTTATTTCAGGTGGTAAGGTGTTCCAGAGTTTGCAGCCTTTGATGGAGAAGGCTGATTGACCAAACGTAGATCTACCACGTTGTATGCTACATTTTCACAGTGCTTCTTGTTACCCTGTTTCTGTCCTGTCTTTGAACACATCTGGAGAGAGGTTCAGGGGCCAGATTGTTGATACATTTAAAAACAAGTTTGAGTCCACGTTGATTATTAACTTCACCAGAACCCGATGACCACATTCCCCCTGCACACTTTCACTCCCGTTTGCATGCAACCATGGTTACATGAAGCTCCCGTTTCCATGGCAATCAGCTGCTGTATGTATCACCTCCACCTGAGTGAAGGGGTTAAAGGACTCTCACTCTCTCGGGTGGAGCCCCACCCCGTGATGGTGCACTTCCTGTTGGGGGTCAGGGGGCTGTTCCAGACGTCGATGGGTCTGACGAGGCTGTTGAAGACGAGCGGCTGCTGCAGCTTCACCAGGGCGAGGTCGCACTCTTTGGTTTTAGGGTTGTAGCCGTGATGGGAGATGATCATGGCCACGCCCACCATCTGGACAACAACAACAAGGTCACATGATCGCCTGTTTACCTCGCTGATTTTATACTTAAATTATAATTGAATCAGAAACTGGCTTCAGACTACGGTGAGCTGTGTACGTGAACACATCGCTCTGATCACTCTGTCAAGCCCCGCCCTCACCAGGAAGTCACCCTCTGCCAAGCCCCACCCTCACCAGGAGGTCACCCTCTGTCAAGCCCCGCCCTCACCAGGAAGTCACCCTCTGTCAAGCCCCACCCTCACCAGGAAGTCACCCTCTGTCAAGCCCCGCCCTCACCAGGAAGTCACCCTCTGTCAAGCCCCGCCCTCACCAGGAAGTCACCCTCTGTCAAGCCCCGCCCTCACCAGGAAGTCACCCTCTGTCAAGCCCCACCCT